ATCATGCTACATGAAATAAGTCAGAGAAAAACAAGTATCCCATGATCTCACTCATATGTGGAAACTGATGAACAAAATAGATTCAGAGACATGGAAAGATGGAACAGAATGCAGAATCTTGGAGGGAAGGCAGGGGAGGGTAGGTGGGTGGGAGGTAATCAACCAAAGACCTGTATGCATATATGCATAACCCATGGACACAGACACAAGGGTGGTAAAGGCCTGGGGGGCGGGGTAGGCCGCAATGGGGGTGGAGGTTCAAAGGGGGCAAAAAGTAGACACATGAAATACTTTCAACAATAAATATTTAAAATAAATACACGAACAAAGAAACAAACTTGAGACATTTAAGCTTCAGGAACCAAGTGCAAGCCTCCAAAAGATAGGGCTGTCAGCATCAATAAGTTCTATCTTTCTGGAAAGGTCAATGTACACGGATCAACAGTCTTCTAAAAGAGAGTACTACACAGTGTGCATTAATAGTTGTTCATACCAATCATAAAGATCTTACATTCTGAACATCCTGCAAAGTCTTGTATTATCAGGAGTAGGCATGTAATTGCCAAAAAAATCAATGATAGGATTAACAGTTTGAAACTATCTCCAAAAGCACATATGGATCAGTGAAGCATTCACTAATCACTGAAAGCTGGTTTTGTAGAGTGTCCTAATACATAACAACTAGAATTTTAGCATGGTTGTGCTTGGAATAGTTTATATTTCAACAGCTAAAATATTGGGTCATAGAAAATTTATCTTTAAAGAACTGTAGAGGGCAGTAATTCCAATCTAATTTTTAAATAATGATGAAACCAAGGACCAGAGAGATTCATTTGTTTACCTATTTATCAACATTTATTGGAGATTAAGTAACTTGCCCAATTGTAGCATAGCCAGTAGTCACTTGTCCTCTTGACTGACTCTGCCGCTCTTTCTGCTGAATCAGATTTTGTATTTATTTCTCTGTGTAGGAATCTTTGCTGAAATCTTGCATACACCTTAATTCTGCTTCAGGTTTGTCTTACAAGTTAGAACTATAACAATAGAACTTCTCTGTTGGCCATATGATTTCATTACTTATTTTAAAATGTTAATGGGTGCATGTGCTTTCATTAGAATAGCAACTACAAATTAATTTTGAAATTTGACTATGCTCTCAGTTGATGGTTTTACAATATTTATTGTCTTTTTCTACATGAACAACTGTTAATCTACTTTTGCCCACCTCTGTATTTAGGACAGTGCAGTGGTATTAATGACAATAGACAGATGACTTAGTAAAGGATTAGGTTAATATGCAGGTCTAAATCTTTAATTAAGTAAACGTTCTAAAACACACACCACAATATGTATGTATATTTTAAGAAAGATAAGTTGTGAATTCTGTAGTGATTTTGGTGCTTCCTTTTTCACTTTGAAGGCTTTTACTAGTAAACTGAATACCATCTAAAAAAGCCACCATAGTATTTAAGGAAGCAGGAGCCCAAACATACTTACAAACTTACTTGTTTTTTTTCATCCTGTGTCTTACTTACTTATTTAGATATTATGCAAGAATGATTCATTTTATATTTTTAAATTTATCTTTATTGTTGAAAGTATTATAGATGCCACCCCCCCCCCCCCCACTGACCCTTTCCACCCCACTTGTTCCCCACCCCTCTCTTTCCAGGCCTACCAGGCCTGTGTCTTTTTAATCCTTACCTGAGGAGGATATTTTTTCCATTGATTTTTTTTTTTAAGAGAGAGAGAGTGGAATGAAGAAGGAGAGACAGAGAAACACTGATGTGAGAGAGACACATCAATTGATTACCTCCTGCATGCACTCCCCTCCCCCCACCATGGCCAGGAGCCTGCCCCGAGGTACATGCCCTTGACTAGAATCGAACTCAGGGCCCTTCAGTCCGTGGGCCAACGCTCTATCCACTGAGCCAAACAGGCTAGGGCCAGGCCTGTGTCTTGAATAGAGCAGAATGTTTATTTAATCTTTATTGCCTATCCTGAGCTATTTCTCATAGAAGTGGTCTCCAAAATACAGTGTACTTGATTCAAGAAGTGCACACACAAAAAAAACTTGTATTTATAATTTTTATCTTAGGGAAATGAACATAAGCTAATTTGCTAATTTTTAATAGAAGAGTTGATGGAATGTAAGTATATAACTTATAGTATGAATATTTGTGAAAGTAGACACTAATTGTAGGAGGTGCAATAAAAAAGCGTGCCAAAATTGATTGTGGGATAAAGGTTGTTAGGTTTACAGATAGATCATCAGGGCTTTCCCCTAGAAATTTCGACTCAGTAGGTTTCAACTGGGGCCTGGAAATCTGTTACTTAACAAGACCTCCAAGTGTTTCTTATTTTCAGCCAAGTTTAGGAAATTAGCAGTAGACCTGCTTTCCCATATCTTGACTTTGGCCTAAGTGCAGTTCAAATATTAATGGCTGTATGATTGGTGCCTCACTTACCCTAATACAGCTAGAAAGATGGGTTGTCCAAGGGCTTAGCAGCTAAGCTACAGCTCACCTTATTTCTTGTGCTTTGATTGGACCAAAAGCCAGCTTGAATTTTAGAGGCACCAATATTGTGTCTAGTGTAATTTAGGATTTTGTTTACCTTGATGTTTGAAATTGATGACTGTTTTCAACCATGAAGCTGCTGCCACAGGTCATTACTATCTTCCATGTGTTAAAAAAAGCATGTATTTTTTTTTAATGCTCTAACATGCTGTCACATGGAAATCTAGAAATAAATTTTATGCTGAGGCAATTGGGTGTCCTAAAATAAAATATTTATTCAAAATGTTAAAAAAAATATAGAAGAAATAATAGCTAGCATTTATTAGATGTTTGCCATATACCAGGTATTATACCAAGCACTTTTCAATACAGTTTATTATTTAATCCTCACAACAATCCTACGAAGGAGGTGTTTTTACTATTCTTTTTGCAGAGGAGTTCATTGAAGTAACACAGAGAGGTTAAGGAAAAGTAACTTGCCCATTGTTTATAGGGATTTTGTTTGCTTGCTTGTTTGCTCATTTTAATTTGGGAATGTCCTAAATGACTTTTAGGTGAACTTATTTTCTTCGACTTCTTTGACTGAATGATTCTTTATCTTGAAATCTGATTTCTTCTATTGCCTCATTCTCATAAAACAAAACCTCTTATATATTTTAACAAGGAATATGAAGTAACATATAGATATACTTTGGAACATTCAAATGATGAAAGAATATGACAATTTAATAAAAGCAAAGTTTATTGTCACTTTGAGTATGTAGCTTAGTGATTTATCTGGGGATTGATATCTATGACTATACATAGAGGGGTGGGCAAAAGTAGATTTACAGTTGTAATACAAATAAGTAACACAATAATTAATAGAACAACAATAAAATCTGTGTTTCACATACTCAACAACTGTAAAGCTACTATTGCCCACCCCTGGATATTGTTTTATCCTGAAGCTTTGTTTTATAACTGTTACTAATTTTTTAATGTCTGGGGATTTTTTTTTTTTTTTTTTTTTTGAGAATGGAAAGAAATTCTGGCAGTTGTTTGTTTTAATTGATGCACAATTTATTAAAATTTTTAACATTGCCAGTTTTAACATCTAGTTTTTTCTTAAGCTCAATTTATGCATTTAAAAAATAAATTTATTTTTATTTATTTTTTTTACAGATACGTAGATTTTATTTTACAAAAGTGGGATAATTGGGAACACATATTTCTGCAACTTACTTTTCTCACCGTGGACATTTCTCAAGTCAGAAATACAATCTACCTCATTTTTTTTTTTTAATTTTGTTTTATTGCTTAAAGTATTACAAAGAGTATTACATATGTCTCCTTTTTTTCCCCCTTTATCTTCCCCTGGCCTCCCCTACTCCCCAGTGTTTTATTAACTCCACTAGGCTTCAGTTAATCTCTTTAAATTACCAAATTAAATACCCTGAAACATTTTAAAACACAACAATGGACAAAGTAAAATAAGTCAAAAAGCATAATCAAAAAAACAAAACAAAAAAAGAACGAAAAGCATAATCAAACAATTAAATATTGTAAATCTAAATCTAATAAATCAAATTTATAAATTCAGTAAACCAAGTTCTCCTAAATATTAAACATTGCTTACTAACTTGTTACGTAATTCATATTATAATCACAAATCTGAGATAATTCTCTAAAAACATTTCAAATATCTTAAAAAAAACACAACAGAATATGCATAAACAATTTATCAACTAATGCCCAACTTACCAATACATTTTTATCTTAAACCAAATGCAAAGTCTTCATACTAGCATTATAGGTCCAATTCATTCCTTAAGCCTGTCATTTTTCGTCCCAAGACTACAAATGTACTTGCACAACAAAGTAGAATAGAATTTTCATCTTTCAACCTTGTACCACAACTAGGATAATACATTTGGGATTGGGCAGGGCACCTATGTGTACTTGTCAACCAGAGTCTGCATTGGACCCTTCTACCCTTCTTATTGTCAGGCTTTTGCTTGCCCTTGTTAACAGAAACCTCGTGAGCCTCATGTAAATTTAAGTAAGCATTTAAGTTATACATTTTTGCAACCTGGTTCTTTTCCTAGAAATGATGCATCCTGTGTTTCCATTTGGTTTTTGCAACCTGGTGGTTTTCCTAGAAATGATGCATCCATTAAGTTTTTTTCTTACATTTTAGCAATGCGATTTTCTTCCTAGAAATAATTCATTCCTTAAGTTTTTTCCTTAGGTTACACTTCATCCCCATTATAATGGGATTTCCTAAGTCCAGTTATGTACAAACTGTGTAACCTTTGACATTAAAGTTAACTTGTGTACTAATGGGTTTTGACACCCTACATAGGTTACTTAACAACCCTTTCTCTTTTATAATTTAATAACTGCCTCATTGGCCATCAGTCATTTTATTCACAATAATGATCAAGTTTAATTTTTAACCCCTTTAAATTCATAAAGCGAAAAATGATTTTTCTCTCCTAGGAATGCCAGAATCACCTCCGCAGATATGGAAATGTGAATCTGGAACTGGTGACTCGAATCATTAGAGATGGTGGCCCATGGGAAGATCCAGTGTTGCAAGCTGTTCTTAAAGCCCAGCCAGCATCTCAAGAGATAGGTACTTCAGGAAACTCAAAATCAAAACCAACATTTATGAGAAGCAAACACAATTTCATTATCTCACTAGAGCTGTATTAGTGATTTTTCTTTATTTTATAATATTGAGTAAGAATTATGTATTTTTACATGAAATGTGTTTAATTTGTTGTACTAATGTGCCCTAAGAGTGATTTTTGACACTAGACTTGGATACATTTATTTCTAGTAATTTCCCATTCTAATGGGAATTAACATATTTACTGTCCAGATGTTACTTACAGAGAGTTCATTTGCTTTTGTCACTGCAGTTATAGTTTAAATATCTATTTAAGTTGCCAAACCCTTTTAAAACAAAACATCCTGCTTAAGAACTTGAGATCTCCCTTATACAGAAGCAGCTGTGAGAGCTATAACTCATCCAATTTTTATCACTATTACTGTATATCCCACACCTAGCCCAGTGCCTGGTAGAGAGTAGGTGCTTAATATATGTTGATTGAATGAATGACCACATGATGACTGTATAAGTGAATGCGTGACTAAATTTCAATTCCGAATACTGTAGAGCAGTATTTCCCACACTTCATCCATTAATAGAAGTTGAATTTTCCCTCATCCCTTTACCGCCTGCATACTTCTTTGGCATCACCTCCTCTTAAACCTAGATGTACAGTGGTTCCTGTGGGCCAGAATTTTCTTTTGAGGAAGGAGGCTCTGTCAACTGCTTCTTACATATTATTCCTAAGCCACAGCTGATCACCAAAGCTTAGAATATAGAGCTGAGTAGTAGTGAATAAACACAAAACTGTGAAAAACATTTGAATGTATGGAGAGCCTAAGGAGTACAATTTTAAGATTGCCAAAAGGAAAAGACAAGAACTCCTAGCTCTGGAACAATTCAGACCTTGGTCTGGTGAGAAAGACACTTCATACCACAGACTGTGCTCTGTGGGTTAGGATCTGTCCATTTGTCCCAGGTTAAGGGGTGAGGGTAGGGGTGGGTTGTGGGTAGAGTTGAGTGGAGAAGGAGCTGTGATTCTTGGGCTTAAGAGCAAGCCAACCAGATACAAGTGTGGAGGCTGATGGCAGAGATGTGAGAGAAGATGAAAGTAAGGCCAGAAGAAGTAGCACAAAGCAGTGGGATGAGATGGGAGATAAGACAAAATAGGAGGAAAGGGCTGAAATATATATGTGGCAGTGTTATATACCCAAGGGATACAAATGAGACGAACTTGGTATGAGGGTCTGGAGAAGGAATAAAAGAACGGAAGCAGCTGGAACTGAGGAGGAAGAGTTGGATGGCTGAGGAAAGGTAGAGTCAAATACAGGTAAGGCAAAGGTGACTAGCTGAAGGAAACTATGAGGAGACTAGGGAATGAGGCAAGAGCAGGGTAGGAGATAGACAAGACAGAGCTTCCAAAGGAGTGAAAAGTTAGGGCTTTTAGGAGAGCTTTTAGGCTTCTCTGAGTAGGAGCAAGAACAAACATGAGTTGCTTTGAAGTCTGATGGCCTTAATATATGTATATATAGTTCTTCACACATAGTCCTTTAATACTTACAGTGACATACCTCACTCAGGGTAAAGCTGCTCTAGAGCCTCATTAATATGAATGACTCTTCTCTGGTTGGTGATCATTAGGGTAAAAACTAGTGTGAGGTTTATCTTTGCATTAAGTGAACAGATGAGTATCTGTTGATCATATGTTGGAAACAGAACTGCAAGGCAAATGTTGGCACCCGAATAAAACATCACTCATAAGTATTTTAGAAGCTAATGATTAAACACATAACTAATTAAAATACTTGGGGTCCAATAGGATATATGTGTTCTAGTTCCTGCTTTGCCACTTAACTTTTGTCTTTGGGCAAGTCATTTGACCTCTCTGAGACTCAGTTTTGTGATCTGTAAAACAAATACTATGATAACTACCATAAGGATGTTTTTAGGTCTAAATAAACTTAGTAGATAAAGGTGTTTGCATACTTTTTAATTGTGTAAAACCAAGTATTTGTTAGTAATTATTCTTAGTGATACATGAGCACATATTAATAAGCATTCCTTTTGGCTTAATCTTTTGTTGACAAGTAATAAAATGTATTTCTTTCATGATTTAACTTTTTCATTAATTCAGATTTATTTCTCTATAATTAATCAGTAATGAAAATATTGAGCACTAAGATCAGAGTACATAATCTTAGACTAGAAATTACATACCCCATGTTATTTGAAACATTTTAACATATTAGTGAACTGAAAAATAAATATTTCAGGTTTTTTACTTTTTAGACTGAGAAGAAATCAACAGGTATTTCTTGAGCACTGTTTTGTTGTCACTTTTATTTCCGTTTTTCCAATATATCTTTTTTCACAAATAAACTCTTACTAAGAAAATGCTATTTAATTAAATAACTAGTTAATCTAATTAAATGCCACATGTTAGTGATAAAGTTTCAAGCAATAATCAAGAGTTTGAGAGAATCCTTTCTTGAGAGTAATACGAGTCTGTTCTCTATTTAATACAGTGAACAAATACTTAAGTTCGGAAAATCCACTATTCTTTGAACTACGTGCCAGATACCTAATTGCTTGTGAACGCATACCCGAAGCAATGGCTCTTATTAAATCTTGTATAAATCACCCAGAAATCAGCAAAGACTTGTATTTCCATCAAGCACTCTTCACATGTCTATTTATGTCACCTGTAGAAGAACAGCTATTCCGGGAGGTATTGTTTAAGATTTTGTTTGTTTGTCTATCATCATTTTAACCTTATAATAAAAAACAGGGAAAAATATAGCCGAATCTTGTTAAATTCCTTTTTATAGTAATACCAAAGGTTTTCAGATTAAATTATTTTGATGTGTTCTCTTTAACACCATTCTTTAAGCTCATGTTAAATTAGACCAGTGGTTGGCAAACTGGCTCGCGAGCCACATGCGGCTCTTTGGCCCCTTGAGTGTGGCTCTTCCACAAAATACCACGTGTGGGTGCGCACGTACAGTGCAATTGAAACTTCATGGCCCATGCCCAGAAGTTGGTATTTTGTGGAAGAGCCACACACAAGGGGCCAAAGAGCCACATGTGGCTCGCGAGCCACAGTTCGCCGACTACTGAAAAATCTGATATTAACAAATGATGAAATTAACAAAACATTAATAAGCTTCATTTTATTCATTTTAATCCTCACCCGGGGATACATTTATTGATTTTTAGAGAGAAAGGAAGGGGGAGAGAAAGAAACACTGATGTGAGTGAAAAATATGGGTCAGTTGCCTTCCAACCAGGGATCGAAACTACAACCTAGGTATGTGCCCTGACCAGGAATTGAACCCACAACCTTTTGGTGTATACGTCAACCAACTCAGCCACCTAGCCAGGACAGCGATAAGCATTATTTATGTTGAGTTTCTGGTGTGACAGAGGTCAAATAAAAACTGAGAACCATTATGATTTTGCCTTTTAAATAAAATATTTAAAAATTAAAATTTTCATGTTTGTTATTTTTTTTTCAAGATGAAAGAATCTTTTCCTAATATGGATCCTACCTACCTATAAGTTATAAACATTAATGAGATTAAAAGTAACTGTAAACTATAGGTGCTATATAGAAAAATATGAAGCTATGAAAAATTTTCTGTACAATTCATCATTGTCTTTGTAGAAGAAAACTAAACATCTAATTTCTTCTGAATGTTTAAACACTTATTGCAACTAGCTTTTAGATATTTTTTAATGACATGAACTAATTTTTCTTTTCCTCTTATAGCATTTATTGAAAACTGATTGTAAGAGTGGAATTGATATCATCTGTAACACTGAAAAAGAAGGCAAGACTATGTTAGCCTTGCAACTCTGTGAATCTTTTCTTATTTCACAGCTCCAGAATGGGGATATGTATTGTATCTGGTAAGTGTTCCTAATATAGAAATTAAAGTAAGACGGGGAACAGAAAAATTGGTTAGCAGAGTTTGGACTTTATATTTTTTTAAAAAGTTATGTGAAAATGTTAAGCAAGAAGCAATAATGCCTAAATATTAAAAAAGAAAATGATCAGGTACTAGTAATTGATATTGTAAATGTTTAAGGTATGTGTTATAATGAAACAATCATGTTTTAAATTAAATTTGGAGTGTTAGCTTGTTTGTTTTTTAATTTAAGACAGTTTTTTAGAGCAGTTTTAATTAACAGCAAAACTGAAAGGGAGGTACAGACATTTTCCATATACCCCCTGCTCCCACACATATATATCAATATCACTCACCAGAATGGTACATTTTTTATCAAGGATGAATCTCCACTGATTCATTATAATCACCCAAAGTTGACAGTTCACTCTCGGTGTTATATATTCTACGGGTTAAACAAACATATAATTACATATCTATCATTGTAGTATCATACAGAGTATTTTCACTGCCCTAAAAATCTTCTGAGCTCTAACTCATCTCTCTCTGATCCCCACCTTTGGAAAGCACTGATCTTTTTACTGTCTTCATAGTTTTGCCTTTTCAGAGTATCAGCTAGTTGGGATCATACATGTAGTCTTCTCAGAATGGCTTTTACGTTAGTACTATACATTTACGGTTCCTCCATGTCTTTTCATAGTTTGATAGCTCATTAGTGCGAAATAATATTCCCTTGTCTGATGTACCACAGTTTATTTATCTATTCACATACTGAAGGACATCTTGGTTGTTTCCAAGTTTTGTCAGTTATGAATAAAGCTGCTATAAACGATCTGTGTGCAGGTTTTTTTGTGTGGACATGTTTGCAACTCCTTTGGGTAAAAATACCAAGGAGCACTATTGCTGGAACATATAATAAGAGTATGTTTAGTTTTATAAGATACAGCCAAACTGTCTTCCAAAATGGCTGTACCATTTCTTATTCCCACCAGCAATTTATGAAAATTCCTGTTGCTCATCTTCACCAGTATTTGTGGTCAGGGTTCCAGATTTTGGCCCTGCTAATAGGTGTACAGTAGCATCTCATTGTTGTTTCAATTTGCATTTCCCTGATGTCATATGATGTGGAGCATCTTTTTATAATCTTTCTTGCCATCTGTATATCTTCTTTGGTGAGGTGTCTGTCCATTAAGATTTTTGGCCCATTTTTTCAGTCGAGTTGCTTGTTTTCTTATTGTTGAGTTTTAAGAGTTCTTTGTATATTGTGGATAATAGTCATTTATCAGTTGTCTTTTATAAATGTTTTCTCCCAGTCTGTGTCTTGTCTTTTAATTTTTTTTTATATTGTCTTTTACAGAGAAGAGGTTTTTAATTTTAATGAAATTTTATTTCTTTCATGAATCATGTTATTGGTGTTTTGTCCAAAATGGTATCACCATACCCAAGTCATCTAAGTATTATCCTATCTTAATTTCTAGAAGTATTATAATTTTGCATTTTATGTTTAGGTCTATGGTCCATTTTGAGTTATTATTCATGAAAGTTATAAGGTCTGTGTCTAGATTCATTATTTTTCATGTGGATGTCCAGTTCTAGCATCATCTGTTGAAGAGACTACCTTTGCTCCATTCTATTGCCTTTGTTCCTTTGTTTAAGATCAATTGACTATATTTATGTGGGTCTATGTCAGGGCTCTGTATTCTGTTCCATTGATCTATTTATTCTTTCACAATACAACAGTGTCCTCATTACTTTAGCTTTATAGTAAAACTTGAAGATAGATAGATTAATCCTCCAACTTTGCTATTCTTCAATTTTATTTTGGCTATTCTGGATCTTTTGCTTCTCCATATAAACTTTAGAATCAGTTTGTCAATATCCATAAAATGACCTGCTGGGATTTTGATCAAGATTGCATTAAATCTAGAGATCAAGTTGGGAAGAAACAACATTTTGATAATATTGTGTCTTTTTTTTTTTTTTAATTAAATCTTTATTGTTCAGATTATTACATTTGTTCCTCTTTTCCCCCCCATAACTCCCCTCCTCCCAGTTCCCACCCCACCCTCAGCCCTCACTCCCCACCCACTGTCCTCATCCATAGGTGCACGATTTTTGTCCAGTCTCTTCCCGCATCTCCCACACCCCTTTCCTCCCCCCAAGAATAGTCAGTCCATTCCCTTTCTATGTCCCTGATTCTATTATAATCACCAGTTCATTCTGTCCATCAGATTATTTATTCACTTGATTCTTAGATTCACTTGTTGATAGATGCGTATTTGTTGTTCATAATTTGTATCTTTACCTTTTTCTTCCTCTTCCTCTTCTTAAAGGATACCTTTCAGCATTTCATATAATCCTGGTTTGGTGGTGATGAACTCCTTTAGCTTTTCCTTATCTGTGAAGCTCTTTATCTGACCTTCAATTCTGAATGATAGCTTTGCTGGATAAAGTAATCTTGGTTGTAGGTTCTTGGCATTCATCACTTTGAATATTTCTTGCCACTCCCTTCTGGCCTGCAAAGTTTCTGTTGAGAAATCAGCTGACAGTCGTATGGGTATTCCCTTGTAGGTAACTGAGTTTCTTTCTCTTGCTGCTTTTAAGATTCTCTCTTTGTCTTTTGGTCTTGGCATTTTAATTATGATGTGTCTTGGTGTGGTCCTCTTTGGATTCCTTTTGTTTGGGGTTCTCTGTGCTTCTTGGACCTGTAAGTCTATTTCTTTCACCAGGTGGGGGAAGTTTTCTGTCATTATTTCTTCAAATAGGTTTTCAATATCTTGCTCTCTCATCTTCTGGCACCCCTATAATTCTGATGTTGGTACGCTTGAAGCTGTCCCAGAGGCTCCTTACACTATCTTCGTATTTTCGGATTCCTTTTTCATTTTGCTTTTCCGGTTGGGTGTTTTTTGCTTCTTCACATTTCAATTCTTTGACTTGATTCTTGCGCTCCTCTGTTCTGCTGTTGGGTGTCTGTATAATATTTTTTATTTCAGTCAGTGTATGCTTAATTTCTAGTTGGTTCTTTATCACAACATTGAGGGTCTCATTAGATTTCTTGAGGATCTCACTACATTTATCGGCAGTTTGTTGTTGTTTTTTTAATTGCTTAAAGTATTACAAAGGGTATTACATATGAGTCCATTTTATCCCCCCGCCCTAGACAGTCCCCTAGCCTCCCCTATCCCCCAGTGTCTTATGTCCATTGGTTATGCTTATATGCATGCATACAAGTCCTTTAGTTGATCTCTTACCCCCTTACCTCCTGCCCCCCAACCCTCCCCGGCCTTCCCGCTGCAGGTTGACAATCTGTTTGAGGCAGCTCTGCCTCTGTATCTATTATTGTTCAAAAGTTTATAATGGTCTCTATTATCCATGAATGAGTGAGATCATGTGGTATTTTTCCTTTATTGACTGGCTTATTTCACTTAGCATAATGCTCTCCAGTTCCATCCATGACGTTGCAAATGGTAAGAGTTCTTTCCTTTTTAGAGCAGCATAGTATTCCATCGTGTAGATGTACCACAGTTTTCTAATCCATTCATCTACTGACAGGCACTTAGGCTGTTTCCAGATCTTAGCTATGGTGAATTGTGCTGCTATGAACATAGGGGTGCATATATCCTTTCTGATTGGTGTTTCTGGTTTCTTGGGATATATTCCTAGAAGTAGGATCACAGGGTCAAATGGGAGTTCCATTTTCAGTTTTTTAAGGAAACTCCATACTGTCTTCCATAGTGGCTGCACCAGTCTGCATTTCCACCAGCAGTGCACAAGTGTTCCTTTTTCTCCACATCCTCTCCAGCACTTGTCGTTTGTTGATTTGTTTAGAAAATTATTGAAAGACCTTAAAAGTGTGGTTTTGCGCTCTATATCTTCCATTTCTTACATCTGCGTCCTGTTTCTTTGTCTCCGCATTTTTTATGCTTTCTTGGTGCAACCCCTAGTGGTCTTTATGCGCAGTCTTGTTGTAGTTAAGCCTAGATTGTTGTAGGTATCACTGGCGGGGATTTGACCTCCAGGCCAACTGGCTGTGAGAATCGGCTGTGTCTGCAGTGAGAGAACTTCTGTCCTCTAGGGAGGTGCTAATCTAGCCTTTGCCTGAGGCTATCCAGCAAATGCCTCTGTGCAGGGCTTGGGCGGGGCGGGTCTCAACAGGGTGGGCTGGAGCGAGCAGTTATGGCTGCTCTCAGTCCTGTCCCCAGGGGCTCTGCCTCTCAGAGTCCCACAACCGCTGCAAACCTCGGAGAAAAAGCTGCCTTCGAGTTCCGACCGAAGCCAGACAGTCCCGCTTCGCCCGTTTGAGTCTGGGTCCTAAAGGCGTGCCCGGATCTGGAGCTCAGAGTCTGCGACTTCCTCCCGATTGAAAACGCCACTCCCTGGCAGACAGCACCCCACCGATTTTCACAGCTAGATGGTATGTGGGTACCCTCCTCAGTTTGGTGTTCTCTGCTGGGGAGCCCAGCTTTGGGATTAGATCCCAGAGGCACTCCTCACCCCCCCACCCCCACCCCAGCCCCCAGCTGAAATATCTCTTTGGGACTTCAGTTGCCATCCGCCCCTCCTACCAATCTCTATGCAGTCTCCTCCTTCGGTCCTTGGGTAACAGGGTGAGTTTTCCGTTGATTATTCAGGAAGCCTTTCTATATTTCAGTTGTAATTCCAGCTTATTCTTGGGAGCATGTTTATCTACACCTACATTCTTGCTGGTTCAGCTCTTCTTCTCAATATTGTGTCTTTCTATCCTGGAAATATCTCTCCTTTTATTTAGTTGATTAAATTCACCTGAGTTGTGTAGTTTTCCTCACAAATTTTGTGCCTATTTGTTTAATTTTTAACTAAGTATTTTGTTTCTTAGGTACTAATGTAAATGGTATTGTGTATTAGTTTCAAAAAAACATTTTAAGAATTACTTAAAAGTTATTAGTAGGATATGTAACTTAGAACGTATTATGAGTGTTTTTAGGACCTACTCTTAGAGTAGTGTTAGGTGAAACCATGAAT